AAAAATGTATAAGAAAAATTTAAACGTTTAAATGTTATAATTGACGTAAGATATTTGACGTTTCTCTCAGTCCATAGGCGTCCACGAAAATTTTTTTGGGGGCAGGCAACCCGAAAAGCGCCGTCCTTAACGTGTTAAATAAACTAATTATAATTAAAGGATCAGTCGAGCAATGGGGAACATTCATCGCCGAGGAAGACTGCGAGGAACACGTCCAGACTGACGACGCCCACCAAGAACAGATCGTTCTCTCGAGGCTCGAGATCTCCGAATCTGAAGAGCCCTGATTCGACGCCCAGCACTCCGGGGGCTTCCGAAAAGAAAAGTAGATCTTCAATCAAATAATAATATTATACTAATTTATACTTTATAATTTCTTGCAGAATTGCCAATGAATAAAATTCAAGTGGGTTCCGCGCCTTCACCGAATCTAAAGGTGAAGTCGAAGATTGGATCCCTTGCAAATACCAGCTACAAACCGGGCGGTGGGAACGTCAAGATTGAACACAAGAAGATCGACCTTTCAAGCGCTCATTCCAAGATCGGTTCTAAGAACGAGCATTACGTTCCAAGTGGCGGAGAAAAAAAGGTAATTCTAATTGTAACTATAATCACTAAAAACTGAAGACAGTGTTGCTTTTATAGTTTCTAATCTAAACTGAAATGTGTTTCGTAATTTTTAGATAATAAGTCAGAAGCTGCAGTGGAGTGCAAAATCTAAGATCGGTTCTTTGGAGAACACCACGCACAAACCGAAAGGTGGTGACAAAAAGATCGAATCGATCAAATTGGATTTCAAGGATAAAGCAAAGTCCAAGGTTGGATCCAAGGATAACCTGAAACACGTCCCGGGCGGCGGCGATATAAAGGTAAGTCGTCATCGTCAGTCATGGACGAAAAAAAAAAACTTGGTGAAAAAAGCAATGATTGCAAAAAGGGCGACTAGACGAGTACCATATTTTCATCGTTTTGAATCTGTTTAGCCTCCGTTAGAAGATAAACGCAAACGAGTAGTAAGTAACGAAGTAAAGAAGGCACCCTGTGTAATCGCTCACCAAAAACTCATTATTAGGGCTTTCGATGTTATTTGTAGATGATTTTTTTTTGTATTAAATGCAAAAACTATTCGCTTTTTAATAGTTTGCTGTGTTCGTTGTGTTCAGATCGAGACCAAGAAACTGCAGCTGAAAGTCGAGAGCAAGATCGGAAGTCTGGATAATGTGAAGTACAAGCCCGGCGGCGGCGACAAGAAGATCTTCGACGACAAAGAGTACCTGAGGCAAATGTCCGCATTGTCCAACGAAGAAGGCGGATCTCAGGTAAGAAGGCCAGAAGTCATCACCTTCACCGAAACCCTAGTGCCCAACCTGAAATGGATCTGATTCTCAACCTTACCCGCATCCCGATCGAAACTCTCTATTCTCTCTCTTCTCTCTCTTCATTTCACGACGACTTTCTTTCCAGGCCTTTGACTATATTTACACGTATTATTGAATAGTTGTTACTTGGGGCGAAGCCAAAGCCGTCATCATCATCATCATCTTCATCATACATTTCTCTATCGTCGATTCGATGCAACACACTTATTCTAACGCTAACACTAATTCTTCTACTGACACTAAATGAATGCATGCAACAGCAACAGCAACGAAACTCGATCCATCGAGCCTCTTAACACCACCACCACTCCTAGTCCACACACCTAACCGTATTTAGTTTAATTAACACGAAATTAATATTAAATTATAGAACTCGTTACCGTCCCAGCCGTCAGATGCGAGAGAGCCCGTCTCCGATGAGAACCTTAACAGAGAGAACTAATTCAACTCTAAAATCCATGATTCTACTTGATTAATTTTTATCTTGTTGTTGCTACCAAATATATTTTTCTAACTGTAACGACATTTACAACATCGTAGAGTCCACTTGTTTTTTGTTGTTGATTTTTTTTTATTAATTTGTATTTAAAGCATGCACTAAAACTACATTTAATACAAATAACTTAAGAGAAATTAGTAAAAACTGTAAACGCATTCAACATAATCATCATCATCAGATTCCGAAGACATCCGCATCTCATCACAGTCATCATTTAGTTTAAATTAGAAATCAACCAAAAAAAAAAAAGTAATATATCATGTAAACAATTGAACCCATCTAATTGTATTTCTTCACTGTTGTTTTCTTTATTTTTCTCTTTTGTTTAAGTGGACACAGCAGTAGTTTTTGTTTTGTTGATTACGTGTAGTTTGGTAACAAATAAAGGGCAAAGCAAAGAATGGGGGATGTATTATTGAATATTTGTAATGTATACATTGTACCGTACCATTATTATTATTAATATTATTACTCTGTAATGTATAACCTTACTAAAGGTGTAAATGTAATTTGATTTTGTTGTATGAGATTGAAATAATAAAACGATTAACCACCATTTGAACCGTATACTTTTGGGCACAGATTTAGATGCGTATTTGTAGAACCACAACCACAAAGAGCAAGCAGCTTTTCATCGCAGCTTTCTTTTGATCGATGGTAAAGTAATGTCATCGCACTTTCGTTCGTAAGATTTCAAAACATCAAACTAACCTTCTTTTGTGTCGCAATTTGTTCTTCTTTGTTCGTCAAGTTTTATGATGCGTTGTCGCCCATCTCTCCGACCCAGAAGAGCCGCTTCGGAGGAATTCTAGAAACTGTCCAGGAGAACGTGACGAAGAGTAGACCCTGTTCGAGACTCTCCAGAAGTAATTCCCTTCGCAGCAGAAGAGATTCGGCAACGAAGACACCCTGGAGATGTTGAATCTTTACTCAAAATCGTCATTATTCCAGCACTTAGTTGTAGATATCGCTCCATGCAGAATTTGTAAATTTCCCGTTGGAAACTCATCAAACGAATATTATTTAGATATTTTTAGATTATTAATTCATGAAAATAATCCAACGCTATTTCGCGATCGCACGAAACAGTAATTTTTAATTAAATGTATTATTAAGTTTACTATTATTTCAAAATAAATTAGTTTTTGATAAGTTCACGTTTATGTCAATTTATTTCCTAATCTGTCAAAAATGTATGAATGTTCATTTAGAGCTGTGGTTTCCAAACTACATGTTACCACGCCTCCCTCAAAAATATGTAATCATTTGGCGCCTCCCCTTTCATAAAAGGAACGCGCATTACAGCAATATGGATTCTCCAAACATTCAGCTTTCATATGCATCTTTTGGATTCACTCTATGTAGTATAGTTTTCGAGAAAATCAATGAAATGTGAAAACACTGCTTTTTCGAGCATTTTTTTAAATTTGATCACGAATTACAGCCAAAC